AAGAAGGGGGAGCCCAAAGGGGTCTACTTACAGAGGCTCACACAGCTCATAAATAGCTGTGGTGTAACATTTAGTGTGTGGGAGAAACGGGATGACCATGGTAAAGGGATAGGAAATATGGATTGGACGTCGTTGATGGGTGCTGAGAAGAAGAAGCTGCTACATACCCTCCCAGATAAACTACAGTCAAGCACTGAAGAAATTATTCATCTGGATACTGCAGGCACAGTCATCAAACTATGGAAGGTATGTTTATCAGATACAAGCTTTTCTTTAATTTGTCCATATGTTAGCGGGGAATCTGAGTCCCTACTCATAGGAAGCCCAAACAAACGGTTTGAAGGAACTAAAAGCCTTATTAAAACACTTGAGACATGTCTTACAATGAATTAAAGTATGCAATTAGCAATAAAATTGCTGTTAGGATCACGCATGTAGCATGCTCCAGTCTCGCTGTGATTTGACCATACAACTTCAAACCGTTTGTTTGGGCTTCCTATGCTCTACTGTATACTTACTTCTCAGGCATATCAAAAAAGACTCTCAGTTCTTTTGCATCCATTGCATTCTGCTGTTTTAATGGTGGATACAGGATTTTTATCTTCGTCGTCAGAGACAATAATTTCGGTGTCTTCACTGCTGTCGTGATTGTGCTCCGTTCTTTTCTTCTCTTCTGTCTTTTTCTTTTCTTTGGTTTCTTCACCTCTTGGTTGGCATCCAGATCAAGGACACATTTCTGAGCTACATAGTTCAAATAAATTTCCTTTGACTTTATATTGAAAAAACATACCCTTTAGAAGCAGCCACGATTATAAGATTTTACATTTAAATACTTGCACATGTAAGTAAGTTGCTTGGTATAGGTTGCCGTATTTTCGGATAGACATATGTGTATGGTGAGACCCAAGCGAAATGGTTAAAATCTAATCCACACCACAAAATTAAAATAGAACCACTTTTGTATCATCTTACCAGAATATTTCTGGCTCTTGTTTATAGCGCGAGGCTGCGAAATGAGTTTGTTGTGAAATATCCATGTCTACATAATATAATGTTATGTGTACCTTGTTCTTGTTCACATTTCTCCTCCATTATCACTAAATAATAGTGGCCAAATATCCCCAATGGTGTTGTGTTCTTACTGTATTTTGTGTTGTATTGTGCGCGTATCCCTATGGTTTTATTAGGGATTAAAGATTATCATGATATCATATATCATATCTAAAATATTTTACCTGAGGCTATATATACAGTAGGTGAATACACATATATGGGTAAAACCATGCAGAAAACCTTTCCAGACGTAATAGTATACATGAAAACAATTCTCAATTCTGGTTGGCAATTTTTTCAAAATTCAGTGCCATTAATATGATCTTGTCATACTCATACATGATTTTGTTAAAAAATTTTTTCACTAACAGGATTTTGCTGACATATACTTCAACTGTATTTCTTCTAATAACCCTGTTGAACTGGAGACATGTGGATCTAGGGTAAGTCATTTTCTGTTGTATGGATATTAATGGAAAGTGGTAGTATATAATGATATCAATTACAACATAGTAATTCTTTGAGAAACTCTTTTGAATGCTTTTAATTTAAATTTCAGATCCGACGCTGGATAACACTGTTTCTTACCTTGCAACACCATAGAAAGGGCTATGCAAATAAAAATATTACACCTTATATGCACGCAGCAGCATATCATATCCAGGATGTTCTCGACAAATTCAAGAATTTGAAACAGTTCAGTGGACAAGGTATGTTTGTATCATACCAATGTGAGATATTGCATTTTATACTTTTTGCACTTTCTTTACAGGTGTAGAGAAAAACAACGATGTTGCCAGAAGTATAGTCCTTCGTAAGTCAAACAATTTTGACAGCCCTGCAGAGGTGATACGAGCGGAGCACAGAATTAACACTCTGCACAAGAGAGAAAGAAGGAAAAGAGGATACAAAAAAGTTGCAACTGAGTTTTGGAATGGCGGGAAGCAAGAGGCCAGTAAAAATAAAAAACAGAAGTGCATAAGCATACAAAAGCCGGATGTTTCAAATAAAATTGGAGAAGATAACAGCAGCATACCAGAGCAACCTGCAAATGTGCAACAAAGAAATGTGCAAAAAGGAGCAAAAAAGGCAAAGAAAAGAAAGCAAACAAAGAAAAGATAGCTCCCACATGTATATAGGTGTATAAAATTATAAACTGAATTCTGTAAATATTCAATGTGTTCTCTGTTGCCTTCGTCCCCCCCCCCTAGCTTCTACCACCCTCGCCATCCCCCCTGTTCTGTATATATTATATGACAACAAAAAGGATGGCAACCTAAAGCACAAAAAGAGACATTGATGAAAACATAATAGACTAGCCGATATCTTGGTTCCCACGACAACATGTTTTTGACAGATCAGGAAATTACATCACCAGGGTCTGATATGGAGAAAATGTTAATGGACTAATCACTGTAATGGTCAATGGAGTAAAAACCATTACATAGACAAATCAAGATATTAAAGTAGAGTGCACCAGAATTTATTTTGGCTGATGGATAATTAAATACTTCCTCATGCAGCTACTTTAATAAAATCCATTGACATTTTCTCCAGATAAGACCTGGGTGATGGAACAACATTTCCTGATGTTTCGACAATGTGTTGTGTTGGTGACCAAGATATAAAATGTCTAACTTTTACAGGAAAATGCAGCTTAGTTCCTTGACCATGATGGTCAAGCAAATTATTCCAGTCATTTGAAAAAAAAGTCTCCTCAAAATCTTTTTTCTCTAGCAGAAACCAGAGTCCATGTTTTGTCCCCTTTCCCATAAACAAAAAGGAAAAAACATCCTGACGGAACTCCACGGTCATTCGTGATCTTGTCCGTGGGTTGTTTAGTGACTGGTGAACAGCCACTCTGAGCCGACTGACTTCGTTCAACACGACATTCCTGGGAGGGGTTGGTTCATTGAAGTACCTGTCAAAAACCAGGGTTAAATTACATAAATTTATGAACAACATATTCAAAATGTAAAGCAACTTAACCTGTAATGCATGCAAACTATTTAACAGTACTCTTAACTAATAAGGCTAACATGTTATTTGGAGTAAAATTAGTGGAAGGAATATCAAGATGTATGAACAATTGTTGAGGGAGAGCGAATTTAAGTGGATAATTATTGTGATGTTAGGTGCTACTCCGACTTACGAGCAGTACCGGACAAGTGGAGAAAACCCCACTCAAGTGGCTGGGATTCGAAACCATGACCTTCAGTTTACCTGCAGCTCAGTTTACCAACTGAGCTGCAGGTCAAGTTGGGAACAGATAGTTGAATCATGGTACTACAAGGGTTTTTGATATTTCAAAACTGAATCTAGTTTCTTCGATATCGAGACTTGTGGGTTTGAATCCCAGCCAGGCCATGTAGAGTTTTCTTGATTTGTCCGGTATGGCTCGTAACTCGGAGTAGCACATAACATAACAATTATCAAGATGTTTATTTTATAAATACTTGCCTAATACATTCCTCCGTTAGATGTTCCAGTGGCTCCCACGTCCACTCAAATGAGCTGTAACCCAGCCACTTTACCAGAAATTCTTTACCCTTAAATTTGAAATAAATTACAATATGAAATGTAATATATTTGCCGGTTGAACCAAACACCAAAGAGTATACATATTTTTTATATATTAACAATATACAATTTATACAGTTATACTTACCTCTTTCGATGTTCCACTGGCGATAACTCTTTCCACCGAATAGAGTTGGCCGCCTCCTAGTGTCTTCCTCCTTCTCTTTCTGGGGAGGTAGAAATCTGCCGTAGATTGCGTATTTAACGCACAAAAAAACCCAGGGCTATGTATGGTTCTCTTTATAGCGCTCTTAGGAGCGGCTGCCATCTTGAAAATTTTCAATAATACTTCATGTATGTCCCATGAGAACGACAAAATTAGCTCCTCCCACTTATGTCCACAATTTCTCGCCATGTTTAGTTTTTGTTCGTTTGTTCATCAATATGTTTGCTTTGTCTTCTTGTATTTGTGTTTAATTGTTTGCTTTAATTTTAAAACAATTAGATATATTATAAGTTGTTCTTTTTTGGAGAACTACCTCTGTGTGGAAATTACAGTCATTTGTAACCATAGTCACAGAATAGATAATAGGACCAAAAGTCTCACTCAAGCAGAAACAGGTCCCATCTTTTATACTGCGCATGTGTGAGGTAAACAAGTGTAATGCAGTGTTGACAATAGAAAATTATAATGGAAGTTGTCATTTCTACAGTAAAAACAGCTTTTTTTCAAGTAGTACGAAATGTGACTTCGATTTATCTGTGGAACTATTTGAGCAGAAGGTAAAGCAGTGATTTTGTTGTATTTAGAAAACAAACAGGGTCATATTTTTGAAAGTATAGCGCACTGAATATAAATTTCAGCATCATTAAAATGTGTTCGATATGATGCCATTTTGTATCCGGTATATATGGAGTTCTGCTTTTATACTTGTGGATATTCGAATTTATTTGGCTCAAAAACACCATTACTTCAATATCCCTTTCTTGTTTTTCCTTGGATAGGTTTTAACAAGATAGAACTCTAGATCACTTGGGTCCAAAGACGCTAGATTATAAAATCCTGATGTGACTTGATACTACAAATAGAATATGTCTTATGATTTAATGCTACAAATAGAATGTCTTTTAAGTACAAACTTCAATGAATTGATAAAGTGTAAGGATAGTGTTTAAAGTCGCTTCATGTGTAGAAGCTGAATTACTTTAGTTTATACACTGTATTGTCGAGATCACATGTTGATATGACTTACTAGCAACTTGCAATAAGTGGTCTGTTCTGCTTGTTTATAATTAATACTGCAGCATATAAAGCAGTAATGATGCTTAAAATATTGACAAGGTGCATGTATTAGAATTTAGTTAGGAATTCTCCTGGTAAAGTGCGTGATTTTCTGCTCCTGGGAATTAAAAACAGCTCCTTAAACACTTTCTTTATGCATAAAATTTACTTATGTCAATCATTTATGCACTCGTGGGAACCAACAGAGTGCTAAAGCATTCAAATTCTAACAATTAAATTGTTATTGGTGATTTCAATAGTTGGGACACCCTGTATAGTTGTTTGAAAACACAACATAATCCCTGCTATTTAATTAGTGTTTTGTTTCCATTTCCTAAGGCAGTAACAATATAAAATGTCAAGCTTATCGGCCATGTGGGTATATAAAATATATTGAATTCCATTCCTTTTGTATGTCATATTTCCAACAAAGGGCTTGTTTTTTTCTTCATGTAAACAAAACCATACTATGTATGGACAGCACCATGATAAAGTAAACTGTCAAAACTGTATACTGTAAACTGGGAAAACCATTTTATAAAAGCTTTTATATACAACAATGAATCCTTTGAAATGTATTAAAATGCGCGCATGTGGCATTTGTAACATGCATGCGCAGTATTATACGCCGCTTTCCGCAATGTTTTTAGGCACTTACCTATATACTGACCAATATAAAATAATGGAGTGGTTATGAAGGTGGCACCACAAATCACACCATTGTGGTGCCACCTTGCTAAGAGTCGTATGTCGAACGTTGTCCAATCATAGAGCTTTAGTGTTAACCCGATATATAAATAGATTGCTCCGGGCGCAGCAAATTTGTGTGCTGCGTTACGAAAATGGGAGAATGTCAGGAGTGGGAGTTATACTTAAAAAATATTTTTGTGTCCATAACAAGAAATGCTACTGCCCTAGCGATGTAATGAATTTTATGTATCGCTCTTTGCCAAAGATGATGGTAAGCTTCAAGTTATTAATCAATTACTCGTGGTTGCATCTTGATTAACACTGCTTCCTATTTTATATTCAATAGGCATTTTCAAAACCAGCTTATGCGACAAGAACTTGAAAACGGTACCGCAAGTGCAACCAGCAGAACCTACCAAGTCTACCAGTAATACTCCAGTGAAAGGCCACCGCAAGCGTGGTTTGGGAAAAGGTTCGCCAGGTATAACATTTTGTTAACTGAATATTTTACTTAAGCCTTATAAACACGATCCGTGTTGTGGCAAAGGCATAAATATAGTTATCTTAGTCAAATGTCTATCTTTAATTATACATCACAGAATACAATAGTGACTTTAGAAATATTGGGCATTGGCTAACAAATAATTTTCATAATGCAAAAAATTCAAAATTGAAACATGCTCGATTCACATGCGTTTGCCCTTAGAGAGAAAGAGCAAATAATTTGTGTTAGATATTGATAGAGCTAGTTCCTCGCATCTGTTATAAAGTGCAAAATGTCGCAGATTGCTGGGCTTAAATTTTCGATCGAATGGCTAAAGGAAAAGCTTAAAATAATAGCAGGAAATGATATTTCTATGCCGCCAAACACCGACACTTTTACTACAGACAATGCTTTCGAGGTGTAAAGTGACATGTAGTAAAAATTGACATAAAGCCGGTATAGTTCTGATTGGCTAAGAGCTGTGTTGATATAACTGTATATCAACACGAAAAATGTTTTATATTTGTTAAATATATTGTCCTTTGCAAACATTAAACTCTAAACCTTAAAGGGGCAATGTCACCAATTTTTGGGCAATACCAACCCTCGCAAATTTTGCCCAAAACTGAAAAAGAATGAGTGTAAGCACAAAATAAAGCAATAACAGACACAACAAACATGTACAGAAGTCTGGATGGGCAAGATTACGTCAGGATTGAGACGGATTGTAAATGGCATCTTGATTAATTGTTGGCAGACACTTTTTCAAGTTTTAGTCAATTTTTGATGAAAATGTTGCATGGTTAATATGACTCATATATCATAACTTAATCTATTTACAATGTTTATTTTTAATTTTGTCGTTGAGTTTTTGAATAAAAGGCATTTTAGGTGACAAAATCGGTGACATTGTGCCTTTAAACTTTAAGCGCACAAAGCATATAATGGGAGTAAAACATTTCCTTACGAGAACAATTCGTTTACAAATAGCTGCAATATTCAACTACTAAGCTTGAAACTTGTGCTTCCATTAAGTTATGCGCACTTAGTTTAACGTTTTAAGGTTGCAAAGGACAACCTCTTTTAAATTGGCTGTATATATTACACATATTACATTGAGAATAATGAAAATTTCGACCAGTTGGG